GATACGAACTAATTTGCAAGTTATACATTTCAAGTTTGTTTAAGATCACATGTCTCTGCCAGCTTTCCAGTTTTTCATTGCTAATTTCACCAACTTCCTGTGCTTGTTTATTTTACTGATATTTTTAGAGGAAATTAATGAGAGTTGAAGTTCATGGTTACTACTTTTACCAATACACTAAACCATAAATTAATCATGCGCGTGCACTAATTAATTAGTTTGCTGACACCCAGTCCTCCTGTTTCCTTTCCAAATTCCCATCAAGCTTTCATTTTGACCAGTTCTCTCTCTCTTTACCTCATCATTAACAACACAGTAAATGCAACTTGGTACATCCTTGAAGGATTAGCCGCGGGTGAAAAATCATGAGCTCGCTCAAATAAGAAGAAAAATTGGAAATGATGGAGTTGTTCGAATTAAAAAAAAAAAAAACTATGTTCTTATCATTGAAAAAAGGACGTGAACTAGTAATCTTAAACTAATACAGAGGATTTCTATTTAAACATGAAAACATAGTAACGGATTGCATGAAATTCATGGGCAATATGCTCGATGATATACTTTACATCTTGAGTGATTTCAAACACCTGAAAAGTGGCCTAATTTGATTTGAGTCTCACATGTGTGTACATATATATATATATATATATATATATATGCTCATTTACTATTACTTTTTTGAGTTTTTTTTATCTTGTTGACCTACCATCTAGATTGAATCTGTTTCTATTGAAACTCTTTTATCCTCCAATATCTCTCTGCTAATATAGGTAGATTTAACCATCTTTATTTCTCTGACAGTTTTGAATCTCCTTATCACTCAGATTCTCATACTTATGCTAAGTTGTTGAGTTATGCTAATACTTTCTCTCAACTATTGCGAGGTTGGAAGCAGAGTTTGTCTGAAAGTAGTTAAAAGCAGCCTTTGATAGAGGTCTGCCACATGATCATTTGCAGAGATGTGTTGAGTGATGAAAAGTTCAACTACAACTCATTAGCACATAAAATAATAATCTCACTTAGTATGTTTATTACAAACATGAAATATCAGTTAAAATTCTATTGCTGAAAACTTCACAACCACAATAGATTGTTAGAGTAATAACCAGAAAAGCAAACCGGATAAAACATTGTAAAGTAAACATTTTATATCTATATCCAATCAATTAATCCTATTTAATTTAAGGATAAAATGTTTTTTTGAAAAACAAAATTAACAAAGAATGACAAATATAAAGATACGAGATAACCTAATTTAAATTTAACAAAGAATGACAAATATAAAGATATGAGATAACCTAATTTAAAAAAAAAAAAGATAAAACAAAGGATATAGAAAGAAAATAAAAATAGAGCTTAAACTCCAATTAAATAAATATTGAGAGGTAAAATTAAAAAAATGTATTAACTTAAGAAATAATGAAAAAAAACTTAAGAAAACCCCGGTGAATCTTTTAATTCTAGCTGAGCTAGTCTTTTAAAATTGCAACCCATGAAATCCTGAATACAAGATTTAAACCAATTTAATTTTAAAAAATGAAATAAAAAAAATATTAATTTAACAATTTTATCAAGGAAAAAATAGCAATTAAATAATAAAAAAAAATCTGATAAGAAAAAAATGAAGGCGGATGAAATCATAAAAAATCATATTCTAAATATCATCTCAAATAAGATAAATAGCAATTAAAAGAATGTGAATTAAATTTAATAAATTAATTAAATAAGCATTAAATAAAAAAAATTATTTTAATAAATTATTTTCAATAAAAAATAGTAATTAAGAGAATAAAAATTAAATTGAAAGAAAAAAATATTTGAAAGATTGACTTGAAAAATTAGAGGATATGGTGCAAAAATCAAAGAGAAATAAGAAAAGAAAAGATAAAAAAATGCTTTTTTGATGCCAAACTGAATGTCATTTGAGTGCACGCATTATTAATTCTAAAAATATTTGAAAGGTTGATTTGAAAGGGTTTTTTTATTATAAAAATAAATAAATTATTTTACGCTGAACTTATATATAAAATTACAAAAGAAAAAACTCTATGGTATTCTTGTAATTTCTTATTTTTAAGGGCATTAAAATTATTTTACTGCCAAAATAAAAGGTAAAATGTCCATTTTATCCGAGATCAATTCTAAAATGCCCAAATGATTCTAATGCCAAGATAATTTTACCCTTAGCTCATGAGGGGTTTTTTTTATAAGGGAAAGATTCTAGAGATATTATTCACATCCAATGCATTGTGTGAATAATAGTGTTTTACCACCTCTTTAATCTTTTTAATTTTAATTTTAAGCTTTTGCATGTTCAAAGTCTGGTATATATGCCCAACATTTTTATTTTCTCGCAAAGGCTTCCCATTTCTTTACCCAAAATTTTTGGATTGTATATTAGGTTCGATATATATATATATATAGGTAAAAGAATAACTGTGCATTTTACGCATTGAAATTGCTAATTTTTCATTTGAAGTCAATTTTATTAAGCAATGTTTTAGGTTTTAGGGGTAAAAAAAGTTTTTTTTTCCTTCATGAAGCACGTTAATAATGGTAAGAAATGATTGCAATAAAGGACGGAGTTAGATAATATTTTAATATTTTCATTACACAATATAATTATTTAATTATTTTTTAAAAACAAAAAAATCTTTGGTCAATGTATTTTTTTGTTTTTTACTTAATTTTAACACAATTAAATTACTTTATTATCCTTAAAAATTAAAAAAAAAAATCCTTTGACTTGGGGTTCTTTTTATGTTTTACATTTACTTCTTTGGTAATTATTGAATGTCATTAGAGACAATAAAGTAATTTAGTAAATATTAAAAAGAAAAAAAAATGAAACTGATGAAAAGTAATCGCCGCCACCTATGCGGTATTGTTCGATGGCTAAAACCTAGCTTTCAGGGCAGCAATCAAACTGTCTGAGCACCTCCTCCGTTTAAAAGCAATAGATGTCGTATAATTGCAACCAGTTTAATAACAAGTGTGAATGTTTTCTTTTTTTTTTTTCTCTACTTGATTTTTGTGTTGATTTTCAAAAAATTCAAATCATCCCCTCATATTATTATCCTTAAAATTTGGTCCAATTATCTTTAATACATCACACATATTGCTTTTTTACCTTGCAAGATATTTTTTTTATTCTATAATATTTAATTAATTAGATGTTTAGCTTTTTAGATGAATTTGAGTCTAATTTTTTTATAACTCGTAAGTTTAAGATATTAATATAAATTTATAAATCTCATTTGGGCTACTTTAGGTTTTTTTCTTCTCTTTTTTAAGAATTTTTTTTGTTCAATCATATAATATTTTATTGTTTTTTTAATTCATTTTATATGAGTTTTTTCAATTATTTTAAAAATAACATGATTTTTTTTATTGTTTCATTTTACAATATTTAATTAAACGGTTGTTTAGCTTTTTAGATAAGCCTAGGTATAAACTTTTATGACTTGTAAGTTTAAAAAATTAACTCAAATTTATGAAAATCGCCTAAGCTTTTCTGTGTTTTTTCCTCTCTTTTTAAGCTTTTTTTTTTGTTCCATTCTACGATATTTTATTATATTTTTTAAATTTATTTTCTCTGAGTTTTTTCAATCATTTTAAAAATCATACAGGTTGCTTCGAGCCTTTTTTTATATCTTTATTAGATTTAACTTTTTTAAAATGAAATTTATTTTTAGGGTAAATTAAGTTAATTGATTTCATCCTCCAATATTTAAGCCTTTAAATATTAAGGTTGGATAAAAAATTTAATGACTTGTAAATTTAAAAGTTTAACTCGGGTTTATAAGGTTTACTCATATTTGCTTGTTTTTTTTTTGGATTTTATCATTTAATTTTTTTATGAGATTTATCTATCTTTTTAAAATAATAAAGGTTACCTTATTTTTTTTGTCTTTTTTATATTTAATTTTTTTTAAATAATTTTTAATTAAATTAAATTTATTAATTTTATCTTTTATTATTTAATTAGGTAGATGTCCTTAGTTAAATGTTGGTTTGCAATTCAAGGAGGTGTGAGTTTGAAAGATTCACTTAAGTTTACAACTTCATGTAGATTTGTTTAGTTTATTTTTAAAAAAAAGTTTTTTTTTTAATTTCATCTATTTTTAAAAAAATTAATTCTTTTTCTATGGTGTTTTTTTTTTATTTTTATTTTGCAACTAATAAATGTTAATTTGGATTTTTATTTTTGAAGTTTATTGAACTAAGTTTTTATAAAAAATTTTATTTTTTAATTAAATTAATTACATGAGTGTAAGTTCGAGAAGCTCGCTTTATGGTGCCTCGTTTTTTTACTTCACAGGGTTATTATTCTGACAACATGAGCAACCTTTTTAATTTACTAAATTTTTAGATGTTTTCCTCCTTTTAAAACGTTGCTATAACATGATTGTTTCTTTACATTGACAAAAAATTAGTGCGGCTATTTTATTTCTATTATATATTGAAAATAGTTGAGTGTTAATAATTAATTGACTTATGACATCATATTTTAAAAAAAGTTTTTGACTTTTTATTAAAAGATATGCCTCTTTGAATCAATGAGACATTGAAATAAAATTTAATTTTTTTTAAATGATTATATAAACCATTAGACTTTGAGCCAAAAATTCAATTTTTATATTAAAAATTAATTTTTATATATATTTTAAATTATTTTAAAGTGTTAATTTTTAAAAAATAAAAAATATTTTAATATATTTTACTATAAAAATACTTTAAAAAATAATTGTAACTACACTTATAAATAAGTTATTTTGTGTCTCACCTATGTTAATTTTGTATTCAAACAACTTGGAGTTTTTCCTATTGAACATAATTTAGAATGCATGGATAGTCTTTCTATAACATTATTTTCTTTTTATCAATTTATATTCATGACTTCCTTAACAAGGCAGTTGAACCCAGAGAATCCTAAGATGATAGAGTCTACGTCGTCGTTTCGTGACAACAAATTTTCTTTTTCTTTTTCTTTTTGCATACTCTATAATAAAATACCTCCAAACTTTCTCCTTCTATAGCTTGCTCACAAATCGAAGAAAACGAGAAAGAATGGAAGCACCAAAGGTGATCGAGCATCAAATTGGAGACATCCATGATGCTCTTCGGTTCGGCCTCGATACCAAGAGAGGCGACATCATTGAATCTCACCCTCTTGAATCTGCCATGCTCTCTGTAATGATTTCTTCTCGTTTCTTGTTTTTTATGCCTTGAAATTGAAGCAAAATTAGTTTTATACCCTTTTGTTTATCATCTTTCATAAGTATGATAATGGGGTTTAAGGGTTTTGTCTGAAATAGATTGTTGAAATTAAAGTTGGTTTCTTTGCTTAGCAAGGTGATAATTTTGGGTTTTTTTAGGTGGAGAGAAATCAAGAGCATATGAAGAGAATAACACTTGCGAACGTTTATGGGGCAGCCTTTCCCGTTCAGATGGGCATCGAAAGGCAGATGCTTTCTAGGTATGTGTTTTTGGCTGATTTGTTTTGTATCCTTAGCTTTTCTTTTTAATCAGAAAAGTGCACTAAGATCGTGTTTTAGTTGCAAATTGGGGAAATTTTGCTCAAGTGCGTTGTTTAGAGGAGCTTTGGACTTTAGATTATGAATGGAAGGCCATAAAAGTTGAAATAGTGCGGATCTTGATTAACATTGATTTAGTTTTTTAGTTGTGTTAGGGTGAATGTGGTTGAGTTATGCGAGTGTATATCAGAATTATTGGATTTCTTGAGCTTCTTTGGTGGTGTTGTTGTCATAGGTGGTTGTGGATTCGCTAGTGTGTGATTCTGTCTTTTTAGCTTGTTGTCGTAATTGTGAAAGGGATTGCTGTTGGTGCTTTTCATGGGAGCCTTAATGTTTATGGAAGCAAAATAGTGGTTCTAATTTTTTCAAATAGACAATGATAACTTGTGAGATCTTACTTAGTGGAAGTTGATAAATTTTAAATGCTGGCTGTTATGCCATCCTAGGCTACTACTGGGTTCAAGGGGCTTATACTTGTTATTAAAAAAACTGAGGAATAGACGTTGTTGACTTTCCCGTGGTATAAAGAGTAGCATGTTCCACATTATAAATTGTGGTTCTCCACACTCATGGGCACATTGTACTCTTAAATATTCAAAGTTTTACAATTGTCAGATTATGCTCTAATGTAGCATTATCTATCTTTATCTGTGAACTTTGCAGATTCCAGAGGCCACAAGGACCAATTCCATCTTCAATGCTAGGACTAGAGGCTTTGACAGGAAGGTTGGAGGATTTTGGTTTTGAGGATTATCTGAATGGTAACTGCTATTTGCTAACTTGAAAAATGTTATTTTCAGTATGATAGTATTGGATTATTCCTTTGAACCTGCCTATTCTTTATAGAGCTGTTATATTTTCTTGAATTCACACTTAACTTTCATTTCAATAAATTATCCTTGTTCATAATTACCAAAGATAGGCTGATCGTCTTCCATAGAATTTTAAGGTTCTATAGTTGGTAAAACGTTCAATGAATGCTAATGAATCTTTCATATCACTGTTCATTTGTTTTTTGATAACTATGGTTCTGGTACATTAATTACAGATCGTGTACTCACTTTGGGGTTTGGAATAGCTATTTGAATAGGGTACCGGTATTTTGCCGTTTAGTTTGTGTGATAGTTAAATTATAATTGATAAAAATATTCTAAACATGGGTCAAATTTGTTTCTGTAAATTCTCCCTGATTTGATCGTGGTAAAATACCTGGTTAAATTTGGCATTTGTTTTCAGAGGAAATGGCATCTCACATAGATTTTTGCTGTGACTTCTACTGATGAGTCCTATCTGTGTTGACACTTGCAGATCCTCGCGAGTCTGAAACTTTCCGTCCAGTGGACATGCACAGTGGGATGGAAGTTCGTCTTGGATTGTCTAAAGGGCCAGCCTGCAAAAGCTTCATGTGAGATGATGAGCCTTTCAGCAATGCCTCTGTTTATTTGTACTCAAAACGATTTGATGAAAACGTAGGAGTAATTTCTACTTTGATGAATTTGGCTGTGTTAAAACTTATGAACATCAAACTCGGTTATTTTTTGATAATGGCCTCATGATTGGATCCTTTTAATTTATCTATTATCAGTATCGATGGTCGTATGATATTGTGTTTTTGCCAAGGAAAACCACAGTACTGGTGCAAGTAATATCAAACTTCAAAACCAACACTTTGCATTCCATTTTGAATCCTTCGAAGAATTCGCCTCTTGTTTTATCATATCGATAGCATAAGCTTACCTTGCTTTCATACCTGCTCCGTGTGGTATTATATTAGCTGTGATTGATATTACGGAGGTTTCTAGGAGGTTTTTTAGAAGTGTAATAATTTAAATTTTATTGAAACAAAAATAATTTGGTATTATAATTCTTCATTTTCTTATTAATATTTTTTTTCTTTGCAAGAGAACATAACTTCTTCTTTTTTTGTTTATATTCTTTATTTAATAAAAATCAAAAGCAACTAGAACAAATATGTGTGTGTGTGTACATACAATTTTAAATAAAATAAGTATAATTAATGTATTTCTCTAATTAATATAATTAATGTATTTCTCAAATTAAAACCCTTCTAATTTAGTAATGTGTTCATTTAAAAAAAAAAATTACTAGAATATTTGTTTTTAAGAGAACATTTTAGCATAATCATAAAAGCTAGTTCTGAACTTCTTGGCAATCTTATTATAGATAAAATGGCTTAGCTAATCAACCTAAGGTTCTCATGTCGGCTCTTTAACTGGCATGAATTTTAAATTAAATAGAACTAAAGTTAATACAATATAATTTTATCAATTTAACAGGTGAGCCGGTCATCCTAATTAAAACTTAGTCTAATTTTTTTTAGTCTAACTTAAAAAAATTAAAGATGATATCATCTTAATTTTTTTTATAAATACTGAAATGATAACTTTTAAATTGACTAGAGTTAAGCAGTTAAACTAATGATCTAAATCGACTTAATTAAATTTAATAATTTTATCTTTTTAATATATTTTTATATTTAATTATAAAATAAAAAATAGACATATAAAAAAGCCACCAAATAAAATTTAAGAAAAAAAAATTATGAAAGCATTTGCTTGTATTTTAAAAAAGCTATAATTTTATAAAAAAAAACAAAGTAAAAATTAAGTACTATTTATAAGAATAATATCCCAAATATATTTTTAATTAAATTATTTTAATAAATCTTAATTAAAATTAACAACAAGTTAGGTGCATGGCGCGCCTGGCTAATTTAAAAAATGCTAGATAGGTATCATTGGTTTTTTTTTTCTTTATAATGAGTAGACAATGCTTTATCCATTCATTTTTTTTTTTTAAAGAATAGATGATATATTATTTATAGTGGCAGATAATTCATCATTCACTCGCTGTATTATAGCCTTTAAAGTAGTGACTGAAAAGTTAGGTTTTGCTTTCTTAGACCCAAAAGACCTATTTTATAACTCTTTTTACCTGAAAACATATAAGAAAAGTCCTATAAACTTCAATAAAATCATATTTAATCTCAAAATAATTTTTAATCAATTAAAAAACAAAAATTAATCTCAAATAAATTTTTTTATCCAATCTCAATCTAGTTTTTTCGCAAGATGTGGAGTCAAAAACATCTAAATAAATTGCTTTTACCAAGCAAAACCTATTAATATCAAAATCAATTTTTTTATATAATTGTAATATGAACAACTAATAATTTTTTCTTTCTTCTATTATTTTCCACTAATTATCTCTCTGACTCATAAAAATCCAAGGATTGAAATACAAAACAAAAAAAATAGAAGGTTGAAATGTCAAAACCTCAATTGAAAAACAAAAAAAACTTTGAGGATCAAAATTTTAAAATTTGTATCTTATGAATAGTAAAAAAAAGAAAAAAAACCTCATTTTTTGTTTTAGTTTTAAACTTGATCCTCAAAGTCTCAATTTATTTTAAGCAATTACATTGAATTATATTTTGCAAATTGAGCACTTGAATTGAATTATATTTTGCAAATCGAGAACTAACTTAATATTGAGACATGTTTTCTATAGCATGAAGCTAATCAAAATCAATTCTTAGTCAACACCATGCCAAACCATGAAATTAAAAAAAAAAAACAATTCAATGACTAGAATAAAAAATATTCAAGGAAAAAAAAAAAAGAGGAAAAACATATATAAATCCATATTGAACCATGTCTTTGTCTATAGTGTTTCCCCAACATAATTATAATTTATTAATTTTAATTTTAATATCATGATCAACAAACTTTTTCATTCATGTCATTTTCTTGACAACATATATCTATGAGGAATGATGGTTGATATCTATGAGTTGGGTTTTGATTTTTCTAATCTTTTCTCCTTCCTCCTTCCTTTCTTCGTGTCTTTCATTGTAAAAGAACATTAGAGGTGCAAAATTCTAGATTTTCAATAAATATGCAATCTTTATTCTGAAGAAAAAATATATCTATTTTTTTTAAAAAAAAAAATTCATATCTCAATTTACTCGAGCTTAAGACCTAGAGATAGTGATATCGGATTAGCTCTTTGAAGACTAGCCCCGAATTGATCATAGCTTGTTATGACCTTCCTTAGCTTTGGCAAGTGAAGTAGGACTTGAAACTCATATGATATGAATGATTTTGCAAGACAAATTGGATCCATATGTTGAACATAAACAACAATACAAAAGAAAGAAGAAGCTCAAAACATATGACAAAAATAATACAATTAAAATGTGCTCCATAATTTATTGCTCAGATAAATGTTTTATTGTTAAAAAAAAGAGATATGTAAACTGACTTTTGATGTAGGAGGAAAATTATTTTTCTTATTTAATTTCATATATTAAATAATATTCTTAATACTTTTATTTTTTCTAACTTGTTTAGAGATTTTATTATTATTCCTTTATTTTTCAAGTTCTCTACTTTGTTCAGGTTTGATTTTTAGGTTTATCTAAGGAATTGTTTTAATTTTATCTTTTTAACTTGTTTTTTCATCTGTATTTTTATTTATATATTAATACAGTTAACTGTTAATATCGAGAAACGACAGCGTTTTGACTGAACTACGTTCGGCATCGCAACTGAATCACTGTAATAAAAATCCCCAAATTTATCTCCTCTCTCTCCAACAACAAAATCCGAACTCCCCATTTTAATTATGAATCCCTAGTTTCCCTCCCTCCTTCCCGCGCTCTCTCCAACATTATGGACCCTCGGCGAGCCCCAAGAACCGTAAGCGACCCGAAGGTCCGTAAAGTCGGGTTTTTTACTGACCCACCAGACCGTTCTCTATGGGGTCCACCCAACCACCCAGTCTCCTCCTTCCCCACTTCCCCTCCTTCTATCGTCGACAACTCCCCTCCTTCGGCCGGAAACTCTCTCTCTCCTGTCATGATCCCTCCTCCTCGCCATTCCTCCGCCACTCTCTCTCCTCTCCGCCGTGACTCCGCTGAATTCTTCCCCCCTCCTGCTTCTCCCACGGCCTCCTCCTCTTTATCCGATGATGTGGCGTCGGCGATGATGCGGAGGGGGGTTGCTGCCGCTTCGAGTAGCTTGCCGGGAGGGTTACCATGGCGGCCGTTAAATCAGCGGCGAGTAGTGTTCCCGCGAGTGGATTGACTACGGTCTCAGTTGTTAACAATTTGCCTATTGGTATTTCTGGTATTCCTTTTTAATTTAATTATCATATTCAGTTATTATCTATTTTAAGCTGATTGTTTAACTTAATAAATCATTTTAGAATGTTTGGTAATGTGTTATTTTGTATAGTTGAAGTAATGCATGGATTCATTTTAGGGATTTTTTTTTAAAAAAATTCATGTTGATTTAAGTCTGCATGGGAAGGAGTGTAAAAAATATATGTGATTGCAGAGAAGGGTGGTGAGGTGGCGGTGGAAATGCAAAATGATCAATCTTCATGTTCGAAGTCATTGAAAGAGAAGACTACAAAAGCAGAGAGGCGTGCGCTTCAAGAAGCTCAACGAGCTGTGAAAGCCGCTGCCAAAGGTGAATACAGCCGTTTCGTTTTCTTTTAAAACATCAAAGTTTGTCCCTTTTATTCAATGCTAAAATTTGTTTAAGTGATGGTGCCTGTAATTAGTTATGTTTAATTGCTATTTTGTGTGCTCAGATGTCGTAATTACATTATTTTTTGTTTTGGTTATGAGCACATGGAGTCACTGGTCCCTTGTTTGGTTGGTTTTTATGCACTCAAATTACCCATGGAATAAATGCAACTATGCCTTTGATGTTTAATTTGATTATGGCCATCAGTTATCTTTTGTCAAGTAAAGCTGGTTTAAGGCTTTGCTATAACAATCCTACCATTAATTATGGTATCTATCATGTGTTATTAGCTGAAGGTGGTAAGACACCTGCTGCTGCATCCGGGGCTGCAGCTTCTGCGAAGTCAGCTAAATCTGTGAAGCCGCCTCCTTCACAGAAGAATGATAGTGCTACAGTTGCAGCTTCAGAGAAGAAGGGAGGTGATAGGCCACCAGAAAAGGATCGAAAGAAGGAAGTCCCACAACCACGCATGCAATATGATGACAAGAGTCGGGTGGAAAAGGCAAAGAGGCGTGCTGTGGTGAAGCAAACTGAAGCTAGGAATAGAGTTGAGTTGTTCAGGCATTTGCCTCAATATGAACGTCAAACTCATCTTACTGAACTTGAGTCCAAATTCTTTGAGCTTGACCCAATGCACCCAGCTGTCTACAGGGTATTCTTTTGAAGTTGTTAGTTTGCACCTTTGGTGGACATATCTTCTGGTTATCATACATTGAATGAATTAAACAATCCTAGGTAACTATGTGAACTGGAATATAGTTTTAGATACAGTTCAAGTCAGCACAGTATTGTTTCTTGTTTTGGTGTTTTGTTCTTTTGTATGGTACCTGCTAACCATGATCCAGTCCACATTGTGATTCTATGTAGAAGTTAATCAATGAACGCAACTTTCAGCTAGATGGTCATGAGAGCATATGACAGTTATTGTTGAACCTTTAGCAGGGGTATTTCTGCAATTTTGCAGTAATATGCTTGTTGGAAATTAATGTTATTAGTGGTTTTTGTTTTGTTTGATATTAGAATGATTAA